CTCGAGATTTTTTGTTGTTGTTGCGATAATTATTAAAAAGTCGAAAAAATGTTAATTCATCTCAGAATTAAAATTAAAAGAAAAAAAAAAATCTTGCCACGAAGTTTCTGATTAAGAGAATATTCAAAATGATACGTAACAAGCATTATTTGTAATGCTTGTTATTTTGATTTTTAATATTAGATAAACTTTGGCAGTAATATTTAATGTTCCTTCAAAGATAAAAGAGACCTCTATAAAATTTTGATAAAGTTGCGGCCCGCCATTTCACTGGTGTTTTTAATTGCGGCCCCCGGCAACATGTAAGTTGGCAACCCTTGATTTATTTTTATAACTATTTTATTCGTTTGCTCTTTAAACAAAGGTGGAAAATAGAAATAGCATTCCTTAAAATAGCACTTTATTTCCATGTTTCTTTTATGTGCTGTGTCCAATTTCTTTTCATGTTAAGCGATAATCAGCTGGAAGATTTCATGTTAAACATGCAAAATGCAATAATAATTGATTGCTGACCTCATGGGACCAAACGTGTGTTTCATGTAAAACAATATTTCAATTTAAACGGTTTCGTGTTAACGAGGTTCAACTGAAAGTACGTAGACTGCGTTGGCAAATAACCAGGGCCTGATTATCGCCTAGGCTCAATAGGCATGGGCCTACACTTTCTGAGGGGCCTTAAAAATTAATAAAAAGTACTCAATATTACTACTATAATTACTGAAAGAAACAGTTTTTCACAAAAAGTGCATTTTTTTTTAATTTCAAATTTTCTTTATATCGTGGTGCAACCAAACTCGCATGAACATTGCACTAATCAAATTCGAAAGGACAGCTGAATTTTAACTGGTACAATTTTTTCGCAAACGGCTTAAACGAATGTAACAAGAATGCACATTTGCAAAATCTCTTATGAGTGATTAGTGTCAACAAGAGCTATAAGTTTATTCTTAACAAATATGTAAAGCTGTAGAGAGAGATCTACAGTCTTTGATGTTGATGTTTTAAACTGATTTACACAATCTACAATACGAAAATTTTGATTTTCTTGATAGTTTTGGAATGATAAACCTAATTATCAGTCTGGTCGCGCAAGAAGAAAGAAAAAAAGCTTTAAATAATGAAGCCAACAAAAAAATGAGAAATACTTAATTAAAATATTTCTCTGTTTATAAAGTAGAGCCATCGATTTCCGACGAAGCTACTCTTATTGAGATTTTGATCAAATTTTTTGTTTGAGAGTTTTAATTGAATTCGTTGAATATGAATTTTAATTTTTTAAAATGGGTTATAACTAAATAAATTATTTAAGTGTGTCAATTTTCTATGAGTAGATATAATTTTGGCTCTTTTGAATACTTTTTGTGTGTTGAAATGTATTTTTTAATAAAAATTATAATTCATAACCTTAATAGTTTAGCTTACATGCTGAACTTATCGTTAAATCTAATGAAAGGTTGGCAGCTTTGTATTGGTTTAAGTACTAAATAAAAAATATTTCAGCTAATCAGTGACTTTTAGCCAAAATCACTGATTTCAATTGTTTTTGGTCACCATACTGTTTTTATTTTGATATGCAATTGTTTTATATTTTGCTTTAATTTATAGATGTGTAAACTTTATCTCAAAAAAATAATCTTCAGTTATCGCTGCTTTCAAAATTTTCTCTTGAATCATTCAGTTCAATAGATTCTTTTTTATCGTTAGGACAACTCTTCAGTAATTTAATTTCAAAATAATTTGTAAGGGATCCCGAAAATTTGGTGGGCCTTGGACCGGAATTTGTCTTGATCGGTCCTTGCAAATAACCTAAAGTAAAATGTTCATAATTTTTATTATTATTTACTGTAGGCCGGGATAGCCTGGTTGGTAGGGCACTGGCCCCATGCCAAAGAGTTCGTGGGTTCGATCCCAGGCCATCTGAAGACTCCCCGTGTAGTAAATGGTGACGGATGCACCTTAAATCTGTCGAGTCTCAAAGTCCTCCAAGTTTCCATGACAAATCAATACCTCTGGGGGTGCTGATCCAGGAGTTTCCTTGTCTTCTGGATTGATTCAAAAATTACAAGACTATGGAGTTGAGCATTAGTAGTCGTAAACGTAAAACTGGGTCTGCTGTTCAACGATGGATATATGTATATATATATATTATTTACTGTATGTACTACATAAATAGAGTTACCGTACAATGTCCTAAAAGAGATTTTATATAAGAGAAAAAAGTAAAAGTGCGTGATGTTATTTTAAAATACTACTGTTATCCATCTTCTTAATACCATCTTCCATTTAATACGTATTGCTTGAAGGATATTTTGATTAAACAACTGAGGGCCAAAATTAAAAGTACCCTGTAGTTCGAAGTTACATAAATAATGATTCCAATCATATTTACAAATTGGACAAAGGATTTGCAAACAATGCAATCATTTTAGAGAAACAAGTTCTCCTATTTACCTATACTTGAACTTCGCTTAACGACTTTTCAGTTGAACTTGGCGCCGAATCTCGGCTCCAGGTTTAAACTCATTTTTTTCCCCTTTGAACCCTCCCTGAATAATGCGGCAGTCAGTTTTTATCAGTAATTTACAATGGAGCCGAAGATTTGCTATATCCAACGAAATAAACATAGCAAAAATAAATGTGCTATCCCTCCAAACGATTCGCCTATAAATTTCGTCAATTGAATGCTTCTGCCGCCTTAGATAAAGGCGTGTTCTATTATACCTTCCATAGGACTTAACCTTTGGATATCCTAGGAATGTCATTTGGATATGACCTCAACTGTGCCGCTGACCGACCTCTGGAGCACCTTCTCTTTCTCCACCAACTCATTACACCTCGATAAATAAATTATAAAGTCTATTACGTCACGTATTTGAACTCTCATCAAGCGTGTGTTTTTTTTATTCAAAAAGCCGTAATTTACGAACGAAATAATTTTTTTTCTCCTTCATACGTAATTGATTTTAATACCCTTTCCATTTTCGAATTATTATTTCAACTCAACTAATGATTAAATTACTCAAATAATCTATATTTCTACAAATTAGGAGCCTGGGAGAAAAAAAAAACTTCGTTTGAATTTATTGTTTGTTTTTTCTCTTCCAAATATAGTCAACTATTAACAAGGTAGAGGCTATATCATACAATTTATTTCATGTCACTGAAAAATATTTTTTGCAATTGTTAGAAATACAGCAGGAAAAACTCTTCCTGGCAAATTCTCTTTCAACTACCTAAGTAATTTATAATTTAAAGCATAAAAAAGCCATGGTAGCCCAGTGGCTCGAGAATCGGAAGCCGTAGTTTGATCCCCGACTCTACCAAAACAGTCCAAGTACATACGTGCTCGTAAAATATGGGGAATCGAAAATCTTGTAGTCGGTAGCTGAGCTGTACCATGGGTATAAAAATCTGTAAGAAATTTTTTCTCATATTGACCTATGTCTAAATTGAGGTAGTGACCGCACGAATGCACCTTGCTGCCACCTATCAGTGGGATTCTGAGCAAAAAGAAGTGCATTCACCTTTGCGGTGCTCTCTTGTCAAATGAAAGACGCACTTTCCTGACTGGATTCGCCTAAGGACAATAGCTGACTAGCATGGATTGTTCAAGTGTCATCGGAAATAGCATAAAAAAAGTGAGTTCGGTTAAACATATAGTATACCATAAAGTTTCAAATGCTAAAAATGTGTTTTAACAATATTAAAATGCAAAAGAATTATGGGAGGATAACCTCCTTGCTGGTAATCTTGACATAATTTTGATATTTTGACAGTATTTTCTCGGCATATGAAACTTCGTGGTTTGCTCTATGTTAACCTGAACTCACTTTTCTTTGAACTTTAAATTTCCAATGGTGGTGAAAAGAAATTAGCCATGAAAAACTTTTCCCACCTCAAGGCAAAGTAGATTTATGATCTACAGTTGCTCTCCCTATTAATTTTTATTCAAAACTGTGTTCAGTCAACTCATTCAATTAAAATAGTAAATTCAAAATAATTATTCGAAATTGAAATGCTTCAATCTGTGTCGATAGACTAAAAAAGTTGGAAACTTCTATGAAATAATATTTAATTTTGATACATTAATTAGTTGGCTGGAAACAATGATAAGTGGGAAGCAATCATGGAAGCTATTGAGCAAAGCAAGCGGGGGGGGGGTGACCTCGTAAAATTCATAAATTTTAAAACAAACGTTGAAAAACTGATTATTGTGTCTTTTTTTTTGAAAACTGCTGTTTGGAAATTTTTCGAAGACTGGTGAATTATATTTTATACGATATCATGTGATAGAATAACAGGTTCGTCACTGTAACGTATCTTTCCCCCTTTCCATAAAGTTTGCGGAAAACTGTACAAAAATGCTTATGTTAGTCAAAATGTTAAAAATTTGTCTCTTATTGGTTCAAAAACAAAAGATAGACTTCATTTAAAAGTATTTAAACAAAATAGAGTGTTATTTAATTAGTATATTTTATATATACCATGGTATGATATGGTTCACCATGGTATCATTTGATTCTATATTTTTTGGAGGAGTTATAAAAATATTTTATTTAAAAATATTATTCAGCACCAATTTATGATATAATATTTATTTGGTTATCATTACAATAACTTAAATCGAAATACTTATTTATCTAACAAAATAATATATTAAAAAACTATTGTTAATAAGTTTTTATTAAGTAACAATTATACTTTAACCATACAACTCCCTATGTAAGAATATAACGAGAATAATAATAATCACCTACATTTTATTATTGTTCAGCAAATATTTGTTAAAACTTTTTCCATAAATGTGTTCTTTAAAAGTAAAATCATTTATAAAAAATAAGTGTAATTAGAAAATGGAAATGTTTCTACAAATTGAAAAAAAAATTTTGAAAGTAGAAAAGTTAGAATAAAAGTTTTAGACTTATCAGATTTTTTCTTATAAAACTGTTAAAAGAATTCGAATTGGTGACAAAATAAAAATGAAAAATTAATTTTTGCAGATTGGCGAGCGACTCTTTTTGGATTTACCTCGTGTGAGATTGGATGGTGGCCGTCAAGCTTTTCGACGAAGATGGGGATACGACATAGGAGTACCCTCGGTTCCCGAAGAAGATGAAGATAGCAGTGAACTATCCGAGACAACATCGCTCAGGGATGAACGCCTGCTACGATTCTCCTCAATGGGTGAGTACAATTTACAAATATAGATGGCAGCAGTATACCTCTTATTTATTAGTTTCTAGCACAATATCTAGATGGCAGCACTATGCATTTTTTTAAAAACTATTTTCCTCGTATAAAAAATATTTCGGGGTGAAAACGAGATTAAATACTGTTTAAAAATAAATGCTATATTAAATTCATCAAAATTAAATCTATCACAAAAATTAAGTAAGAATTAAAGAAGAAAACTTCATTGTCAGATAAATTGTTTACATTTAAATATGAAAAGTAATTATGTTCCATTTGCGATCTCGTTCATAATTTAAAGATTATTCTAAAAAAAAACTGTAAATGTACGTTTAAACAGTTAAAATGATTTGATTTCTTAAAAGTATTATTTTTCAAATTAAATGAATCAAATTTAAAATTTTAAAAGTTTTTTTTTATAACAGCTAACTAATAAATCTGTAAAATGTAAAGAACTTATTTTAAATATGCTTCGGCGAATATTAAGCAATAGTGTACTCTATTAGTTCACTTTGGCTACTTACTACAAAACACAAAATTATCGTTCCTTAAAAATAATTGCCTTTTAATTCATCAAGTCTACTTTATTGAAGAAAAATAAAAGCAATTACCAGTATTAAAGGAATTAGTGAGCCTAGCTTCTGTATTATTCAAATTTTTAAATATTAATGGTAGTGAATTACTTTTCTTTTATGAATGACTTTAAAATGAAATCCAAGATAACATGGATTTATCCTTGATGAAAAATGGCAGACAGGATATTTTAACTAATTACTGTCCTCAAATTCAATTCTCGTTTTTCCATTTTATTTTAAACATTATAAAGCTGTATAATCTATCTTTTTATCAACATAATCTATATTTTGATTGTTTTCATTTTAGACGAACTTTTAAAATAAGCACTGGGAATGATAAAATACTTTAATTATGAGTTAGATTTTTATTCATTTAGGTTTCCGAGTAAGGATACATGAGATTTTCTCCCTCTTTCTTTTTTAAGAAAGGAAAAAAAAAAAAAAAAAGAAAGAAAGATGGAAAAATACTTGAAATCCAAATATATTGATTTAAATAGTTAAATTGTTTATAGTTTCATAACATCATCTATTATTAATCATCTGATATATTGCTGAATTAATCTATGGTTAATATTTTAAAATCTGATTCAATATGATTTCTTTTACGCTTTTTAATTACAACTAAACTTGGGTGATATTAAAATAGACAATAATTAAACGAGAGTTAAAAAGATAAAATATGGGAATTGTTAATAATTTCAAAAAACCAAATCAAAACAAAAAAATGGATTTTATATAAATTATAGTCATTGTACACTAGTAAGTTTAAAAATAAGTTTAAGCGAAAAACAGTTACAATTGGAGCTACAGCAACAGCTGGAGTTACACTCCAGCACTGTTGTCCGCTTAAACACTTTTTATAACTTAAGTCATCGCTAAATATCAGTAAAGCCTATTCTATGCGTAATAAAATAAAACATTCGTCGTGATTATTTGTCAAGCTAAGTGTAGATTTGAAAGCTTCATATAATACAAATGCAATCACAGATTTTTTTTTCTTCTTTCATTTGAAAAGACAAATAAATGTGTTTGTTGTCTTATACCTTAACTGTAGGTTGGCTAATCTTTCAATCTTTCAAAACTGACTCATTAATTTAAAAAATATTTCACAGTAAAGAAGGCAATCTGAATATATCTTTTTAACAGCTTTTTTATGCTATATTATGATAATTTCCTTTTAAAATAGTAAATAATTCACAATACAAAAATTATTAAAATAGAATGTAGTTTTGAAGGTTGTGTTTTAAAATTAGGATTTGAAGGGTTTTTCATTAGCCTTATTTTTTTGCGAAGCAATTCATGCAAAAAGTTCTTTCTTTAGATGTATAAATACATTAAAAAAAAACTGCATTAAAAATATTTTTCTTAATTTGTTTCCTGAAAAATCCAAAAAAAATTATAAGTTTTTTTAAAATATCAATTAATAAATGCTGTAATTAATTACACATCAATGAATTTTAAATCGATCAATAAATCAATATCAATGAATCAATAAATTTTAAAACTTTGGAAATCACTAAAAATTTTGAACAATATTATTTTAAAGTGCATTGTTAATTTGAATTGAATGATCAATCATTCATTTAAAAAAAAAAGTTCATTTGATTTAGATCAATTATTTTTTAAAAGAAGTTAGATTGAAATCATGATTTAAATCTACGAATCTTGCTGAATATAATATCTCAGCCTTTTTTTTTTTCCATGTTATTCAATGTAAAATAAATAATAAATGACAAATACATTTCAAATTTGAAAAAAAAATAAAATAAAATAATTTCCATTGTAACTTTGCGTCTACAATCTGATATAATAGATATTATCATAAGTTAGATAAAAATCTCTTATTATTTTGCAATTTCGGTGTAGGTTTACTAATCCCCCTTTAATCGGAACTATTATTTCTGCTAAAATGTAACCTATTCCCACAGACTCATAAAATTATATTATTATTCTTGTCTTTTCTCGGTCGCTCACCAACTTATCTCTTTCTGAATATTGATAGAAATTTCCATAAAAAACGCATTTTCCTTCCTCATTTAAATTCAGCCGGCGTTCCTCTCAACTCGAACGTACGCTACAACATCTGCATCACCCCCATGGACTCGTTATCTTTGTAAATATGTTTTCGGTATTTTAAATTCTGTAAATAGAATTTCTACTGACCTATCAATATCAACTGAAATATTCTATTTTTTTCTTCATGCAATTCTTTGCCAATTCATTTGCCGGTGTGTGACGCAATTTTTGAGCTGAATCCAGGTATAATTTTAAAATAAAGTAAAGTGATAATTTGGATTGTAGACAAGAAAATGGTAGTAATAATACTTGTGTTTGTTTTTCCTGAGCAGTTTTTTGCTTTGCAGAAAAAAAAGAACTTTTAAAAAAAATAAAAAATTTCTCTACTCTCTATGTTTCTAGTTTGCAAAAGGCTGTTTTTATGAAAAAATGAATAGATTATTTAAAAAAAAATATTTTTTTTCACTTGTTCATTATTTTCGTAAAGATTTGCTAATTTTATTTTTGCAAAATTTAAAATTAAACTTCAATTTTACTCCAAAATAGGAATACAATGTTGAGTTAAAATAACAAACAATGTTAGTAATGCTTGTGCTTTATGTGCAATTTTTAACGCTGCAGAAAAAAATATATTTAAGCTTTTTTTTTCCTTTGCTTTGGTTGGAAAAAAAACATTTAACTTTGCAATTCCAAATACACGATTTAAGTATTAAACGAAACAAAATAAGAGGCAACGAAATGTTGACTTTTTGAAATGAAATGTTCACTTTGCCTGATTGGCATAACGTTATAACTTGTATACATTCGCATCGTCTTTCAGAAATTCGCTAATAATGTACCTTTTTCTAATTCTATACACTGCCTGACTTCGTCCGAGTATAAAAACTGTTTATTGCTCTGAAAAAAAATTTAATATGTCTTTTTTTAATATTTAAGTTTTATGAAAGTAATATAAAACACAAAAAGCAATATTAAATGAAGAATAAATATGCTTACTACCGTCTTTAAAAGAATAAACGCTTTACACGCTCATTGCTGGAATTTTCCATTCATGTAACAAAACAAAATTTTGAAATGCATTGTTAAATGAAAATTTTTAGAAATAGCCATGATCGAATTATTTCGTTATTTCCAATGGAAAACCACCTCCACAGTCAGTTAGTTAGTGTAAGCAAGAGATTTAAAGAAGAAAAATGAATAAATAATAATAAATTTGAAAAAAAATCTACGTCTTCATCATTATTAAAAAGGTGAAAAAAATTCGAATGATTCAGCTCACATATGAGTGTAATAGAGAAAAATTCTGTTAACTGTTTTTTTTTTATTTTTTATTTTATTTTATTAATATAATAAATTGAATTTATTTATCAGCTTTACTCACTTTTTACCAGCTTTCTTATTATTTTAGCCAAATATTCTTATTATCGTTAAAAAAAAATTTAATACTATGCTAAAAGATATCCATCATGTACACTGTAAGAAGAAGTTTCTCAAAAGTTAAGCAAAAATGTGTCAAAATAGCTCCTGAGGAATTATCGTCGAATTTGAATTGTCGATTGTGAACTGTCACTACACTCATTATTGAGTATAATGACATACTTAAAATTGAGGAGTCTCCAAAAATGGTACATCAGGAGAAAATGACACATCATCCTTACATGTGACGAAGTTCAAGCTTAATTAGTTTATAAAATAAAATAAAATATAGTCAGATAAAGATTTTATTTATTTATTCTTTTTTTTGCACTTATCTTATTTTAATTTTATTTCACGAATAAAGAATGTCTTCAAATCGGTAATCAACACTTTCCTACCTTGCCGCAATTTTTGTTAACCCTTTAACGCAGATGGAACACCGGTGTCCCTTTTGTGTATTGTTTTTCTGACGCTCTAATTACAAAACAAATATATTTTGATATTTTTTAATTATTAAAATTTGCCTAATATTTACTAAAAAACTGTTAGATTATCAGATTACAAAATATCAAATAAATAAAAAATTGTACTAAAATATAAAATCCCAAAAAAAGTATGAAAAAAAAATATTTTTTTTCATTCATATTCAAATATTTATCGATAACTGATTTTGTAAATCTAAAAAAAAATTCATGACGAATAACTGTTTCTTTTGTATCAAAATATATAAATTAGTGCAAATTTGAGAAATTTGTTTGGAAGTGAGCGGTGTTCAGAAGATTTTACTTTTAACACAGAAAAAAGATAAAGGCGTTTCATTCTGTAACCATAAATTATTAAAATACTAAATACAATATTTTTCGCTTATTTTCACCTAAATAAATACAAAATAATGAAAAAGGTAAGAAAAGTATGTTTAAATAATTTCCGCATCAAAGGGTTAACAAATGAAGACGGATTCTTAGAGCTGTTTCATTTTTGAGCGTG